ATAAGCCACTATCCATCATATTTGAGAAGTCATAGCAATCTGTGGAAGTTCCCACTGACTGGAAAAGGGGAAAAACAACACCCATTTTTAAAAAGGGAAAAAAGGAAGACCTGGGAAACTACAGGCCAGTCAGTCTCACCTCTGTGCCTGGCAAGATCATGGAGTGGATCCTCCTGGAAACTATGCTAGGGCACATGGAAAATAAGGAGGTGACTGGTGACAGCCAACATGGCTTCACTAAGGGCAAATCGTGCCTGACAAATTTGGTGGCCTTCTACAACAGGGTTACTGTGTTGGTGGATAAGGGAAGAGCAACGGACATCATCTCCCTGGACTTGTGCAAAGTGTTTGACACTGTCCCGCATAACATCCTTGTCTCTAAACTGGAGAGACATGGATTTGACAGATGGACCGCTTGGTGGAAAGGAACTGGCTGGACGGTCGCACTCAAAGAGTTGTGGTCAACAGCTCGATGTCCAAGCGTAACCAGTGATGAGTGGCATTCCTCAGGTGTCGGCATTGGGACCAGTGCTGTTTAACATCTTTGTCGGCGACATGGACGGTGGGATTGAGCGCACCCTCAGCAAGTTTGCCGATGACACCAAGCTGTGTGGTGCAGTCGACACGCTGGAGGGAAGGGATGCCATCCAGAGGGACCTTGACAGGCTTGAGCGGTGGGTCTGGGGGAACCTCATGAAGTTCAACAAGGCCAAGTGCAAGGTCCTGCACACGGGTCAGGGCAATCCCAAGCACAAATATAGGCTGGGCAATGAGTGGATTGAGAGCAGCCCTGAGGAGAAGGACTTGGGGGGATTAGGGGATGAAAAACTGAATATGAGCCAGCAATGTGCGCTCGCAGCCCAGAAAGCCAATCATACTCTGGGCTGCATCAAAAGAAGTGTGGCTAGCAGGCTGAGGGAGGGGATTCTGCCCCTCTACTCCACTCTCATGACACCCCACCTGGAGTACTGTGTTCAGCTCCAGGGTCCCCAACATAAGAAAGACATGGACCTGCTCGAGTGGGTCCAGAGGAGGGCCATGAAGATGATCAGGGGGCTGGAGCATCTCCCCGATTAGGACAGGCTGAAGAGAGTTGGGGTTGTTCAGCCTGGAGAAGAGAAGGCTCTGGGGAGACCTGGAGACCTTATAGCAGCCTTCCAGTATTTAAAGGGGGCCTACAGAAAAGAATGGGAGGGACTGTTCATCAGGGAGTGTAGTGATAGGATGAGGAGTAACGGCTTGAAACTGAAAAAGGGTAGATTTAGATTAGATATTAGGAAAAAATTCTTTACTGTGAGGGTGGTGAGGCACTGGAACAAGTTGCCCAGAGAGGTTGTGGATGCCACATCCCTGGCAGTGTTCAAGGCCAGGCTGGATGGGGCTTTGAGCAACCTGGTCTAGCAGAAGGTGTCCCTGCCCATGGCAGGGGGGTTGGAATGAGATGATCTTTAAGGTGCCTTTGAAACCAAACCATTCTATGAATCTATATGGTTTGTCTCTAATCTGAAATCTGTGAACAGTGAACAAATCCCATACGCTTTCATAGGGATGACACCCATTGAGACTGATTATACTTTTCTCTGACATAATTTTATTCCAAATCCAGTCTTTCAAAAGTAACCTACAGAAAGTGGCAGAAATTGGTTAAATATTCTATTTGATGTTTACAGATCTCCAACAAATTCCATGCCGTTTTTTTAGGGAGAATACAATTTTGATGGAGGAGAGTGTTGGATGTCACCTTTCTCATTCTAAGTGCACCTTCTCTTTGCTCCTGTGACCTCTCTCCTTCAAGGGGGACTGCAGTACAGGGCACGTGCATTTTGCACCTCATCTCTTTCTATTGCCTGGTGGACATCCATTAAGCAGCTCTGAGACAGTCTGCAACATACCTTAAGTTAGACTGCTCATGCACATCTGACAGAAATTATCACAGAATCATAGAATGGTTTGGGTTGGAAGGGACCTTTAGAGACCATTATGGTTGAAGCTGCCCATTTGGACTAAACGTAGCTGTAGACAGCTTATGTTCTTCAGCAATAAAGCAAGACAATTTGCTAACACCTTCACCTCTTGCAGAGGTCTTGGTTTTCTCTCTGTCCAATGTTGTTCACCTCATTTTATAACTCCCTTCCCTTTTCACAGAAGAGAAAGTGGAGCTTCATCATCATTCAAAGTATAATCAGTTCTGCAGCTGGGAACTAACAGCAAATAAATCACCAGCACTCTGCAGCAAGCATGACGTTAAGAACTGTGCACACTGGGACTCAGTGGAAACACCAACCTTCTCCAACAAGTATTCATTCCTGACACACTGTCCTCAAAATGTGTGCTCAGAATCGATACTGGTGAACAACCACTGCCACATTCAGGCCACATGCCCATGAAGCTCACTTACACCATGCCGAGGTGCCGTGTGTCTTCCTGCCACCCTTCCCCTCATGTTACCAGCCTGGCTTAGATCCCTTCACACAGCCTTTGGTGACCTCACTCTGCCCATGCTCCACCTCAGCTAACAGCTGTTTGACGTGACACTATCATGCTGAGTGTCAGCTGGCAAACCCTGCGGAAAGGTAGGATAGGACTGTTGAGGATCTGGGCTCCACTAATGCGAGTTCCAGGTTATGCACAGCAGGACTCCCTCAATCTCCTTTCTCTTCTTTCCCCTGTAGAAGATCAAAGTTAGGAATAAAAAGGCAAGAGCAGCTGCTTTCTTTTCTTCAAGAAGCTATGCTACAAAGAGAAAATTTTACATGTTGCACGTTCTTGGGCACAACATAGAGGAAAGAGACAAGTCTGTCAGGAAGATGGGACAATATGCCTCCTGTTAATGCACTGAAAATGTCCACATATTTTCCTCCTTCTGAGAGATAAGCTGCAGCAATCTCCATTAATAAGTTAATTGAATAAAGAAGGACACACACTTCTCCATGGAAAACTTTATCTAGATACTTTTGTACAGTCCATCTGGAGAGAAGGGAAGGAAAAGCAAGATTTCTAGTGCTAAAGAACTGAACTACGCTGAAAGCAAACAGGCTAGTCTAATAACACACACCTAGTGACAAACAGATTTCTGAGATATAACATAAACAACTGAAAAACTGTTCCAGATTCAATACCAAAAAATTTCTACTGCTTCAAGCAAGTCTGAAATATCTCCACATAGACAGTACTGCAGCATGCTCAAATTGTTTTTCCCATTATCTTTTCAACTTCTATAATAAACTTCCATATCAGTAAGTTTAGTGGTTTGTGAACTACAGTTTTATGCATCAGACATATTATATGAATCAACTTATATACCACTACTGATTGAGAAACTATACATTTCAGCTCTATTACTGTTACAGGTTTTAATGCACACCAATAAATTTGATTCATGTTTTTACTTTTTTTCCTCCTATACACTCCCTAAATAATTCTTCTCCCCACTCCATTGCTATCTATCTAGGACTGTGATCAGGTATATGTGAAATCTGTTCCCAATTTTGAAAACATTAATCTGGTACCCTTGCCATTACTTAGTCACACACTTTACATTCTTTAACCTTTATTCTTTTTGAACTCTTTTTTGTATGATGCTTGCCTACCAGCATCCCACTGTGACTGACAGATATGCATTTATAATCTATTTTTATTTCAGAACATTATAACAACAATGACTGCAAACACATTACGTAGATCTCAAACTAAGGCTGCCTAGAGTGCTTGCTTAGCACAAGAGGGATTTTCACATTGTATGTGTTATGAAAACACGTAACAGGCACATACAAGGACAAACATGCACAGAGACAATGCTTAAATGATCTCATAGAAGTAGTTACGTTATCAAAAGTATATGTTCATATTTAATATTGGGAAGGAAACACTTTTAGGAGAATCACAGCATACGCTACCATCTTTATGCCAAGGCACTACAAGGCACACCCTTACTTTGGCTTGAGTCGGTTTCTCTCATGACAGAGTTACAATGAAATCCTATTTTTACAAATAATTCATTAATACAGCATTACTATTTTGGGATTCCTAAGCAAAACCTGTCTCCTTTCTGCATGGGTAGACAAGCCTGCTTTTGAGAGAACAGGCTTTTTTCCCTGCCTTTTGGATATTTGTGATTCAGCTCTTAAGGTCACCAGCACATACAGCAGGTTCCCAGGCATTTCAGCACTAAGGATTTGCTCTGCGAGAACAGTCATGAAGAATTTATATGTGTGCTAAAACAGATTTTATGCTACGTGTGCTGAAACTTCTCCTCAGATGCTACATATTAGGACACTTTTCCCTCCCTTATGCATCTTACAAGCCTGGCTGAAGGACTGCAGGAGAGACATTACCTTCTTGAACATTCTGGTGGAGTCTTCGCTTATCTGCATGAACCGCATGATTACATTGTTCAGGTAGATATCGCTCAACGTTGCATGGTCTTTGCTTTCTCTTCTCACTTGGTTCAGGAGTAAGTACCAGCAATTCACTGGCGACAAGAGGTTCTGATCTTTCCTAAGGAGGAGATATACACATGTATTAGGTAGAGAAATGCAAAAGTTAGTTTATTAACACAAACATCTCCCTGACATTTACAGTCATAACTTGTCATGTAAAAATGGCTGCTTCTGAAGAGTCAGTCAATCTGTTCTTGGAATAACTTGGGTTAGGCAAGCTTCAGATCACTTTTAAGACACATTCTACAAATCCCATGAGGCATCGATACAAAAATATAGAAAAAGCGTAAGAATTCAGAACACTGCAAGCCACCTGAGAGTATAAAATAATCTTGCCACAAAGCTTACAGTTGCTTACAGATGGAGTACATGTAAATACTCAAAATCAATAAAGGTCACTGCTGAAAGAGTAACAGTAATTAATTTTTGACATTAGAAATAAACAAGCACTGCAAGTGCTTCCCAAATCCTTCATGAGCAAAATTTCAGGTGTAGCTGTTTCAGTGTAATGGATTTGTGTAACTGCTGTAAAAGTAGAATGATATGTCACAAACACACATATTCTGTGATCAGCATTCATAAATTCACAGCACTCATAAATACACTGCTACTGCCAGTCCCAGATGGCTCAATTAGAAGACAAACAGCAGGACTGGACTTTTTCCACAACAGTCCAGTTCCGAATTTCCTTGACAGATTTTTTGCATTGTAGACCCACTCCAAACTTTTAATATTGCAAAAAGTGAAATCACAGGTGACTTCTCATTCCTTTTACACAAAGCAAAATAAAAATACATGTAGTTCAGAAACGGTTTCACAGACAACAAAAACCTATGCATAAAATTTGCCTTATTCCAAATTTCATTGGAATTTTAATTTCAAGTTTGCCTTGCAACTAAGGAGAAGCTGGTGTCTCATGGCTTGGACAAGTGTACTCTTCACTGGGTGAAAAACTGGCTGGATGGCCGAGCCCAGAGGGTTGTGGTGAATGGGGCGAAATCCAGTTGGCAGTGGGTCACAAGTGGTGTTCCCCAGGGCTTGGTGTTTGGCCCCGTTCTGTTTAATATCTTTATTGAGGATTTGGATGAGGGGATTGAGTGCACCCTCAGCAAGTTTGCAGACGACACCAAGTTGGGAGGCAGGGTCGATCTGCTGGAGGGTAGGGAGGCTCTACAAAGAGATCTGGACAGGCTGCATCGATGGGCTGAGGCCAATCATATGAAGTTCAACAAGGCCAAGTGCTGGGTCCTGCACTTCGGTCACAGCAACCCCATGCAGTGCTACAGGCTTGGGGAAGAGCGGCTGGAAAGCTGCACAGCAGAGAAAGACCTGGGGGTGCTGGTTGACAGCCGGCTGAATATGAGCCAGCAGTGTGCCCAGGTGGCCAAGAAGGCCAACGGCATCCTGGCCTGTACCAGAAATAGTGCGGCCAGCAGGAGCAGGGAGGTGATTGTTGCCCTGTACTTGGCACTGGTGAGGCCGCACCTCGAGTCCTGTGCTCAGTTTTGGGCCCCTCACCACAAGACAGACATGAGTTGCTGGAGCGTGTCCAGAGAAGGGCAACCAAGTTGGTGAAGGGCCTGGAGCACAAGTCTTATGAGGAGCAGCTGAGGGAACTGGGGCTGTTTAGTCTGGAACAGAGGAGCCTGAGGGGAGACCTTATTGCTCTCTACAACTGCCTGAAGGGGGGTTGTACTGAGGTGGGTACTGGTCTCTTCTGTCAAGTAACTAGTGATAGGACAAGAGGAAATATCCTCAAGTTGCGCCAGGGGAGGTTTAGATTGGATATTAGGAAAAATGTCTTCACTGAAAGGGTTACCAAGCACTGGAACAGGCTGCCCAGGGAAGTGGTTGAGTCACCATCCCTGGAGATATTAAAAAAGCGAGTGGACAGGGTACTTCAGGACATGGTTTAGTGGGCATGGTTAATGGTTGGACTCGATGATCTTGAAGGTCTTTTCCAACCTAAATGATTCTATGATTCTAAGTGCTCTAGAAACTTGTTGCTCTCTTTTTTTCCTCTTGTGGAGGGATTCTCCTACAGTCAAAAGGATCAACCACGTGAAGATAAAACAGCCAGAGATGGTGATGAATTGAGGGAGAAACTCCATCAACTCTTGATAAATCATTCTAATAATTAACTATTCTCACTGTTAGAAATATGTCCTTTAATTCCTCATCTAATTGTCTACCTTTAGCTTTCACCATCAGAATCAAAGCAACAGTGAATGATTAACAGACAAAAGCCTTTTCTTAATCATCAGTGCTTTGCTTTGCATGAATCAGAAGTGAGTTAAGGAAACTTCCCCATTTTGTTTGGGATGGACATCTTAACTGTGTTACTCACAGCAAGCAGCTTCAGGGTTTTATCAGCCAGGCCAACCAACACAAGCACCCCTGAAGGGCCATGCTGATATTGCTTGGTCCTCACTGCTTGTGCATGTCCCAAAGACAGTCCCACAGACCTTCCTGCTTGTTCTGGGGGGAATGGTGGGAACAGCACAGGGGACCACCGGTTAAAGTGACTTTTGCTGCAACCTCTTCTCAAAGCAGAGAACTGCAGAACAAAGCCAAAGGCAGGACTCCAGTCATAACCCCCATGCACATCTGCCAGTCTGGATTTAACATGTTTAAGAATGAGGAAAGATGTTTGTATGCACAAGGCAAAAAGATTTTGCCACAAGCTCAATAAAATCCAGGGCGTTCTCTGAAGTGGTGACATATGCACACGTTGGTTATTTCAGAGAATCATTGAGTCACTTAACTGAATTTTAAGAAATATTTATTACTGCTCTTTGAACTGTGCAAGCTATATTTGGATTAACCTTTCCTTTGCCAGATGTGTTTGGAAAAGACTTGTCCTGAAACAAAAGTTCTATCTGTGTATTTCTAGCACAGCACTGACTGGACACTGGAAAAAGGTACTTATTTTTCAGTTTTACAAACACAAAATATTGTTTTATACCCCTAAGCATAACAGGCAAATGCATTCATTAATCAGCTCAAGTCAGGAAAATAACCACATGAGACTATGCCAGCAAGTAATGCATTTGAAACATTTTAGAAAATAATGCTCTACACATGTTTTGCCAGATACTACCTGACGACTTTTGTTTTGCACACAAGTTACTATGCCATAAAAGGGATACATTAAATTGTAAGCAAGGCATAACGTTCACATCTTCATTTTGAGGAATTAGAGGGGTCAAGAGGCAGCACAAGTTCACATGCAACAACAACAAATCAAAATAGTTTTCTTTCTAATGTCTTTTTTGCCAAAATTCTTGTCTTTTTTTTTTTTGTGTAATGGTGATTGACCTTTATTTAGACACTTTCAAATCCTATCAACTCCACTGTAACAGATCCGCACACAGCTTTCAAGCCTTTCTGGGGCTCTGCATCTGATCTAGATACTGGCTGTATTTTGGGTAGTTTAAATTCTGTATGGTAGGTTAGGGATAGTATTTGTGCAGCTTACCTTTTAAGAAACTGAAACCACTTGTCAGAAGCTTACATGAATAATTGCAGAGGGCCCAATCAACAAAACAGTATTTAGGCACCCATCTACCTTCAACTGCAATGAGAACTGCTACGCTGCTAAATAGGGGTGGGAATTTCAAACACACCTTTGAACCTGGGCTCAACCTAGCAGTACTCAAAACCAGCAGAAGCAAAGAGCGGCAAAGCACTCCAGCAACGGCTAACATGCAAGCGAGGGGGAAGGAAATCTCTCTTACTTGTACTGCTGATGATCCTTTGTACTTCTCGTTTTTGCCATGAATCTCTCTGCCAATTTTTCCAGGTTTCGGGAATACTCCATCTCAATTTCTGACTTCTTGCGGAAGAAATCCTGCAGATCCTGAAGAAGCTGCACTCTCATTTCAGTCTGCTGCTCCAGGCATTTCTGCTGCTCGATGAGTTGAGCTCGGATCTCTAATAAAAGAAGCACATACCCACTCAGGTCAGTGGAAAGCAAATGAGGATTGAGCAGTATCAACCAAAATTACAAACACTCCAGCATACTTCAGCCTCACAGCTACACCAGCTGGATCTGGATGTCAGGTCCTGTGGTGGGACACAGCAGTGGCAGCTCTCACTTCTGCCACCACATGCTTATGCCCTAGTGTCCTCTCACCCACCGTCTGTCTCACAAACGGCTATTACAAGGGCTCAGGACTCTGCTGGGCTCACGTGTGCAGAACACCTGCCTCCTCCTTCCTCTCCCATCCTCTTCCTGGCCTCTGGCATTAGCCCAACGTCTGGCTTGGAGTGATCTCCTTGCAGCAGGTGGTGTGCAACCATTTGAGCAGCAGCCCCTTCTGCTACCCTGAAAAATGGCAAGATAAACAAGCACCCTTTGGGCTTGGGCCGGGATCAGCCTGCTGACTGCCAGGTGGACCTTGCTGGTTGGTATCATCATGCACACCATGGAAACACCTGGTGATAAACTCTGGATGCATTATCCACCATAACTGTGCACAGCTGAGCTTTCGTATCTGCCCCACCTCTGCCAGGGAAGGAACTGCTGTACTATACATGCATTCACCAATATTTACAGCGAATATAGAGGAATAAGTGTACATATATTTAGAGATAGCTATCTGAAAAATTGCACAAGGTTCCAGAGACTGTGGTATATTTATTAACATAAAACAAAATTAGGCAATTTAGAAGAGAATATATGCTCACAGTTATCATCTAGAGTAACAGGGAAAAGCGTCCAGATTTCTTAGCATTGTTTGCCATATGCACAATTGCTATGTGGTAGGGTTTTTCTTTTCAGGTTGGGGTTTTTTTTTTCTTCTTAACACTTTTATATCTTGAGTGCTAAGCAGTTAATCACATTGTGGGAACACTTGGTCTAAAAACATCCCTCTGGTTCTTTTGAGAGACTGGTTTATTAGAGTTTTGTCAGCTGCCCAGGTACGGTGTAATCCAACATTGTGGACACAGGAGTAAAGCTTTTGTGACCATAATATATGTATATATTTTTTAAACAGTTTAATGCTGTAACAAGGACTTATCAATAGCAAAACAACATGTCAGAAGTGATGTCCATGTAAATGCAAAATTGCTGTGAACTTCTACTTGATTACTAATGATGTAACCACGCTGTGGGCAAGAACATGTTGGAAATCTTAGATGCTTACTGGTTTGAAACAGAAAAGCATTCTAAAAACCACTGCTAACATCACAGGGAACTGCAAACCAGTAAGTAATAATAACATTGCAAAAAATTATCTGATGCAACTGGGAACTAATGCATCCTTACTGATCTTAAAGCAGGTATGAAGGCAGAGATCCACTCTGCTGTGATTCAAATGTGTATACTGAAATAAGCTAGTATGAGCACAGAAAACTGTTAAGCCAACATATTTACTGGAGGAGGGAGACACTGCAGTATTTTCTTCCAGATCTCCTTTGAGCTACCAGCTGCTGCGTTAATCATTAATGAGACCATAGTCTCATTTATAGTGTGGGAGGTGAACCAAAAAATTCATGATTTGGTTTTCATTTCATTTCAAATCAGTTTGTTGGAAAAGGACCATGCCTCCAGCAAGGATGAGCCACTGTAATACAACACTGTATCAATGACATTCATGTACATAGAGGAGAAAATCACATTGGAGCTGGAAGGTTATTAACAGAAACAAAAACCCAAGACTGCTTTTTTGGGTGTCCACTACTTTTAATATTGCAATCATGGAAAATTTCTGTGTATAGGAAACCAGTTGTACAGATTCACTGACCAGAGGCAGCAATTTTACCCACAAACTGGAGTTTTGAATAAATCCAAATCTATGTACATGGTCCCTGTACTTTGGCCATCTCTCTCTCCTGCTACAGATTTTCTACCAGTTACTTTAAAAGCAGAGCTCTGTACAGAGCAACTATGTTCTGATTATTTTGTAGGTCAGTGGATCTTGCTGCTATAAATCTTCCTTTTTAGGCAGGCTTTTACCATAGCAACAGGAAAAAGAAAGATTTTAGAAACAGGAATATATGAATAGAGATACAAGAAACAACAAACAAGGGATGACAGATAAAATATAAGAAATTGCATTAGCTTTCTGATGCTGTCTGGATTTCCAGTGGACAGTCGTGGCTTCCTTCAAACTTGTATACTAGAAAACAAAATAGGAGCATGATGTCTGAAAGGTGATGGTGGCTGGAGGTGTCCAAGCTCCGAGTAAGGTGGTAAGTTAGGGGTTCAGGGGGACTGCAGCTTTATGAAGGAAGTTCCACAATTTCTGGCTATTTGAATCTCGGCAAGGAGAAAGAACATGCTGGCTCCAAAAGGCTGAAGCTCTGGCCTCCCACTGGAGGATAAAAAGGGGAGATGCACATCCCACTCATGCCAGCTGAACAGTCTGTCCAGAAGAGACTTCAGCATAGCAGTTCTCCTTCCAGTCTTTCACATCCTTCTGCTCCTGCACTTTTTAATTCTTCTCTTACTAATAACGTGTGTAATGCCATACTGGCAGGCTGAGGAGATGGCAATGAATAAGAAATCAGATCAGCAAATGTTGTGATTTTAACTTTCTGATAAGAGAAAGCTGTGGATTTAAAAAACACCCAAACAACCAAACCCTAATATAAAAAGCCCAACAAACATTGGCATAACGGCCAGCCAGCCTGAGCAGCTGTGCATCACAAAAATCACAACTGTCCAAGTACTATTAACTAACATAGACTACACATTACCTACTGCTACGGAAAAATGCACCAAGGCAATGCTATCTTCTTTAACCAGTCCACATGTGTGATTTCCCTAGGGCTACAAAGAGAGGCATGGAAAATTGTTGCACTATATTCAAATAAATAAATATCCAATACACCGAGAAGGTGCCAAGTTAAAAACTAGTAGAGCCCAAACTCCACAGATATGGAGACAGGTGCAGCAGACAACAGAAGGGAGCCTGTCTTTACTCTATTTTGTTGGCACATTTAAATTCAAAGTCAAACTGGTACCAGCTGTAATGGACAATGACATTGTCCTATTCTGCTCTGCAGGGTGGCTGATGTCAAATGACTGCCAGGCTATTTTGTGCCAGGAAGAGGCACGTTTAAACCCTGGATGAATTAACACCTTCTCCTTCTCTGTACAGCAGCTTTGAGTCATACTCGCTAGTTTTCTAGCCAAGGGCTGGTTCGAAAGGAATCTCATCCATTTACACTGCAGCTTAAACAGACTGAATTCACATCCAGTGGACCCCCCCCCCCCCCCCTTTGTCCAATACTTGCATACACAACCAAAGCAAGGAAGCAGCTAATGTGACTGTAGTTAAATCAATAACCTCTGAGTAAAGTTTTATTTCTAAAGATTTTCATGTAAAAAATTATTTCAGTTATACTCTCATTGACACCATCCTCTAGAATTACTGCATTAAGTATAAAATTAGGTTTTGTTTGTGGCAGCCTTCAAGATATAACTCTAACCTTTCAACAAATCTTTGTTTTCTTCTGACAGGAGGTTGAATCAGTGCACTATGAAAAATAAAAGGAGCAAGATTATAGCTGTTTTGAGAGTTAAGTACGGAGTGGATGAAGCTGAACTACTGACATCACCCAAATCATGATCAGAAATAAACTCGTCAAGGTTACCTCTTTGCATACAGTACAGTATTACAAATAATGACTTACATACAGTAATACACCACATTACCCTGGCGAAGATACGTGTAACCAGTTATAGGCCAGTGCCCCACCTGAAGGCACCCATGGTGAGATATACTGCAATGTGGCACACGATGATGCTGGCCACACACCAGCAAGGAACAAACCTCATCATCTTCACTTCCACATACACCAAAGCACTAGGCGGCATCAAACATCCCCAAAAGCCACAGGAAACCCCCTCCTGAGCTCAGAAGCCAGACACCTCATAAATACACAGTATTAACCAAATTAACCTGCTGCCAGACCAACACTTTGCATACAGACTGCCACCGTGCCACAGCACTCCCCACTGCAATGCACATAACCCTGCCCTGCAATGCTGCAGTGCTTCTGCCGCGCCGCACTAGGCTGTGCCTGGTCTCATCGGCACTTAGAGACTGTCCAGACCACCATGAACCCCCACCACCAACTCTCGACCAAAGCAACTCTAATGAATGTTTCTTGGTGCTGTTACATGCCTGCTGCAAGCTGCTTTCCGCCCAAGCCACCCCAAGAGCTGTTGCAGCCTGCCACCCTTAACTTCTGTTTAAGTGGAATTAACTTATGTGCTCGCAGAGCAGCCCTGCCATGGTTTTTGGTGTTTGCTGAAAGCTCTGGAAGGTGCTGCAGAGCCAGACACCTCTCCCTGGTCACCCCCTCGGCTGCACTGCAAGCCTCCCACCTGCTGCCTCACCCTGCCCAGCAAGGAGCTCTATTTAAGTCACGGTTACAATACACAAACTACGCAGACACGTTAATCCAGTAGTATTACTGGGTAATAATACAAACAGCCTCAGAGGCCCATCCTGTGAATGATTACAAAAGCAAGTAGCTCATCAGAACTATTTGAGAGTACAAATAGGCTCTCATAAGGCATAGTTATGTTTGTAGGTTTTATCTGCTCAGGTAACTTCAAAGCCGTATCACCTCCCATCTTTCCTTAAATAGCTCCTTCACAAAAAAGAAAAAAAAATTAGATTAGTTTTAAAACACTCAGAAATGTCTCATCAAATGGACTAAGGACAATACATATTATCTTAGACTTTGTATTTCCAAGCCATTACAACTTAGCCATATTTTTACCCCAGTGAGCTATCGACACACATATCCCTCATTCTCACATTTATGATATCCAGATCGTATTTCATAGGAAAAGATTCAGACCTTAAATTCAGCCTAGATATCATTTGGTGACCAACATGTATTTGTAATTAAGCACATACTGGAGCATTAATCATCTTGCAGTACCTCCTTGAAGACACCTGAGCCTTACA